TTTTGTATTGTTTCAGCTATTGATTTAACCAGAGGAAGTTTAAATGTAAGTTTTTCTTGAAAAGAAATGTGCATGGTATTTTTTTTGTGAAGAAATCATCAGATAAATTTGTCAAGAAAGAAAGGGATATTAATTCTTTGGCTAGTGCAATTGACATAAAAGAATTTTTTTATACGACCGTTTATGGGACGTATTATGGTATACCTTTGTCCGTCCGTCTGTCTGTCCGTCCGTTGTCAACATGTCGGGTAATAACTCAAAAACACTTTAACCAATCTACATGAAACTTTGGTGAATTGTTTATATCTATTGACATGAGCTCCCTTTTGTTTTTTATAAATTTTAGATTTTAAGTTTCTGAGTTGTGGGGTTTCATTCTTTTAAAAAGGGGGATTTTCCAGTTTTCGCACAATAACTCAAAAACACTTTCACCAATTTGCAAGAAACTTTGGTGAATTGTTTATATCCATTGACATGAGCTCCCTTTAGATTTTTATAAATTTTAGATTTTACGTTTCCGAGTTATGGGGTTTTATTCATTAAAAAAAAGGGGATTTTCCAGTTTTCTGACAATAACTCAAAAATGCTTTCAGCAGTTTTCATGAAAGTTTAATTGTTTATATCTATTGACATAAGATTTTAGATTTTATGTTTCCGAGTTATGGGATTTTATTCATAAAAAGGGGGTGATTTTCCAGTTTTTGGACAATATCTTTAAAGTGCTTTGAGCAGTTTTCATGAAACTTTAGTGACTGGTTTATATCTATTAAGATAACCTCCCTTTAGTTTTTCATAAATTTCTGAAATGACATTGAGAAGTTATTGAACTTTATTCTTTAAAAAAAGCAACAAGCGTATCATGCGCTCATGGCGCAGCTGTTTATTCAGTGTGACTTGACTATAGGAGTTGCTCTCCACCTATTGCAGTTTATATAAAATTATAACCAAATTGCAATTTATTTTATCAAACCAAACTGTTCAACTGGTCAGAAATTTTAACAAACTGCTGTAGAAATAGAGTCAAGTGGTGAATGTGCACGGTAATAAAATAAAGCATACTTACAATCCTATAAGACTTTAATTCCACTTTATTGATATTATGAAAAATCAGTCTTAACAATTTCTATAAAAATTTTATTGTAATTGTCATGCTAAAGGTGATATGTAGTAATTTTTGAATTGCTATAAAAATGTCCAAATTGAAGTATTTTAATTATTTCTAATAAAATGGTGTTTTCTATGCATGCTACAAAGTTTTCTTTGAAGTGATCTCTAAAATAATGCAGTAATATGCTGAATCTAACCATGTATTTAGATTTTGGAATTTGGGCGTCATTTTAAATTTTTCCACATTGAGGTCCAAAGGGTCCAAAATAAACTTTTCATCAAAAATTGAATTATTAAGGTTCTTTGATATGCTGAATTTTACTGTGTATTTAGATTTTTGATTATGGGCCTGGTTTTCAAATTGGTCCACATTAAAGTCCAAAGGGTCCAAATTAAACTTAGTTTGATTTTAACAAAAATTGAATTCTTGGGGTTCTTTGATATGCCGAATCTTTACATGTATTTAGATTTTTGATCTTGAGCCCATTTTTCAAGTTTTTCCAAATCCATGTCATCCAAAATTAAACTTTGTTTGATTTCAACAAAATTTAATATATGGGGTTCTTTGATATGCTGAATCTAACAGTGTATTTAGATTTTGGATGTTGGGCCCTGTTATCCAATTGGTCCACATTGAGGGCCTTAGGGTCCAAAATTAAACTTTGTTTGATTTCTTCAAAAATTGAATTCTTGGGGTTCTTTGATATGCTGAATCCATGTATTTAGATTATGGATATTATACAATAATAGGTAAATGTCCAATTTCAAATGTTTAAGTTCTTAGACCACATTCATTCCGTGTCAAATATTTAATCACAATCCAAATTCATAGCTGTATCAAGCTTCTTAGTGATTTTAATAAGTATTGCACAATTAATAGAAATTGTAAGTAGATTCATAGTTGAAAATAGATACAGCATCAATATATTATTTTAGAGAAGAAATTATGTATAAATATAGTTTGAAATATACTGTTCATTATTAGATATTTTGAAAAATAATTAAAGGTAAGTTTTATAGATTTTTTAAAGACATTGTATTAATGATGAATGATATTTTGGAAATTTTTATTTTGATTTATTCTTTAATTTTTTTGAAGAACTTTGTGGTAGGTTTGTTTGTCATTCTGTATAAATTATTCTTTAATTTTTTTGAAGAACTTTGTGGTAGGTTTGTTTGTCATTCTGTATAAATTGCTATATATATATATATTTTTTTTTTAAGCTAACCCCTTCTGTAATCATATCAAGCTGTGCCCTGTGGAGAATTTTATTTTCGTAGAAGGGACATATATTTTCATTGACAATGAAAAGCTAGAGGAAAGAGCAAATTTATCTGTGCATAACGTCTGATTTTTTTCTTCAAATCTTTTATTTACATTTAATCTTTTGTTAAGCTAAAAACTTGTGATGTCAAGAGTTATTTTTCATTAAAAAACTGCAGGTTAAAACGATTATAGATCACTTTCAACTTATCATGCTTTACATGGGTGAGCCTCACTTTTCTCTCTGTTTCTAAGCTCATCAAATAAATTTTATGTTTGCCTATACTGTACGAATATTGTATACAAAGAATATGCATATTGTATACAAAGAATATGCATGTCAGTTTATAGTTACAGCTTATAGAGTAAAGGGATTAGCTGGATACTTCAATACATACTTTACTTAAAATATTTATTTATACCTGTATTTGACAGTCCAAGTTTGTACCTCCAACATTGGCACCAGGGTCTGTCATAAAATGTGATCCTTTATCTGGTTTAACTGGATCTGTTCTTACTGCTAACTGTGAATTTCCTGTATATGTGTTTTGGAATGGTGATCATCTCAGGTAAGTATATTTCTAAAGGAATATTTCCATGCAAATTGTGTAAATGTTGATAGGCCATGGTGGAGATTTGTATGTGCACAAAAGTGGTTTATCCCCCACCACATTTTGTGCCTGTACAAAGTCAGGAAATCTGGACCATGTGTTGGTTGTTTTTGCTTGTATTTGTTTGACCATCTTTTTTACGATGATGTTGGATGTTGGTGGACTATTGTACTGTCCAGGATTTTTGTTGTTTACTGTTTATGTTGGTACGTATGTACATTTCAGAATTGGTTTCCGTTCTCTAACTTTAGTTTGCCTCAACCAAATGTTATGAAACTTATGCTTATTACCATAAAACACAGATCAAGTTCAATTTGGGTGGTGTCACTTTTACTGTTCTGGAGTTATGCTCCGTTCTTTCACTTAAGTTTGCCTGAACCAAATGTCATAAAACTTTACACAATGCTTTTTACCATAAAACACAGATAAAGTTTGAATTTGGGAGGCGTCACTTATACTGTTCTCTAGTTATGTCACTTTATAACGTTATATGCCAGGGGCATCATCTTTGTCATTCTCCATCTATTTAGTTTTACTTTGACATGACATTGATTTTGTCATATCTGCTCCCTGTGCAAATTTTTTATCTGCATCCTCCTAAACAAAGGACAAAGAATTTAATGTTACTTTTTCAGAATTGTCACAATATAAAGTGCTATTGAGTAATTATTGTGTAATTTTTGTTTTGATCCATTTTGAATCTTCCTTATCAAATTATGGATTTTGACAGTGCTATAAAAATCTGGGGGGTACCCATTTTGTATCCACACAGTTTCTTCAAATCCCTTTTTTCTAGAGTTGAATAAAATAGACTAGATAAATTACTGATGAATTTCCATGTAGAAGAGTAAGTTGGATTGGTAGGCATAGTCTTGGACGGTAACTTCTCCATGCAGAAATCTTTCTTTTAGTTTTGACTGTTATTGATGATTTTTGTTGAGCCTGCGACTTCTGTCGCAGAAAGCTAGACATAGGGATAGTGATCCTGCGTCGTTAAACTTCTTAAAAGCTTAATATTTCAGAAGGTAGAAGACATGGATCCTTCATACTTTGTATATATATATATATATATAGATGCCTTATGTTATGAAGTTTCTGTCTGTCGATGTCCATTGTCCTTGACCTCATTTTCATGGTTCAGTGACTACTTGAAAAAAAAAGTTAAGATTTTTAGTATTCTTTCTTTCTCTCTTATTATGAGTAATAAGATAACTATATTTAATATGTGCGTAGCTTGTAAGGTTCTCATGGCCGTCAGACAGTTTTCACTTGACCTCAACCTCATTTCATGGATCAGTGAATAAGGTTAAGTTTTCGTGGTCATGTGCATATCTCAGATACTATAAGCAATAGGTCTACTATACTTGGTGTATGGAATGATTGTAAGGTGTACATGTCCAACTGGCAGGTGTCATCTGACTTTGACCTCATTTTCATGGTTCAGTGGTTAAAGTTATGTTTTTGTATTTTGGTCCGTTTTTAAAGGCAGTGCTTTAATGCCTTTCTAGTTGCCGGGTTAATCCTTCCTTCCGCTGATATCCAACTTATCTACGTGGGGGGTCATTAGGCTCCAAGTAGATCCGGAAATGTTGAATTCTCTCCTCTTCTTATTGTGATATAAAATGTTTTTTGTTTCATTTCATTTACATTGGGAAATAGAGAAACAATCATTGTGTTTTGTTAGTTTTAAAAACTTTTGATATATTTGTATTTTGCATTATAAGCAGTCAACCGATTGACAAACTGGAATTATTTGAATTCCGTGTGGAAAGAGGTCGGGTTAATTTCGAGTGTTATCTGCAATCTAGATGTTTATAAATCATTTCAGTCGTTGATATAATAATTAAAGGTCGACTGAACATGAATTATATTATACAATTTAAAGCGCATTTCTGTTTATGCACGTGAACCCGTCTAACGTTATTGTTATTTCGCAGTTACATAAAGTAGCAAATTATCGTTCCTGAATAGGTGGCGCCGTGGTAGCCGATCCTGTTCCTCAACTTCAGGTTTCTGCACTGTGCAACTATGTCAGTTACATTTTTAATTAACGATGCCAAGTACTTGTTGTTGTGTACCTGGATGTCATTTAAGAGGAGGACATGCATTTCCAAATGACTTAAAAAGAAGGAAAAGTTGGATCAACGCCATGGCCAATACGCAGATTGGACGAGAACACGATGAAATCGTGGAGTCCATCTCAAATTATCAGCTGTTGTTTGCAAGGCACATTTTACCGAAAAAGACTACGTGCAGGAAACTATTCATGGTAAAACTCTATTTTCTTTTTGAAATATATAGTTATATATGTAATCGCCATGCGAATAAACCAAAGTCTGTTTACAACCGCAATTATCGTTTTAGAATAAAAGGGGGTGGTTAATTCAAGACGTCATAATTTTTTGGATTACGATTCAATGTGATCTGTTTGCGATTTTTTGGTGATTGCTACAATTATAATGATTTCTTACAAGAGGTATATCATACTGAGAATTATTTTAGCAGTAATTATGCTAATGTAGTAATGACAGGAATGCATAAGCTATGCCTCATAGACTTTCTTGAAAAATATCAATGACAATGTTAACAGGAACAAAACAATAACATATTCTCATCTATATTATAGTTATTTAGGTACAAACAATGTACGTTTGTTGCATAAGTCTCTCATTGTTTGTCCTTTGGATTTACATAACATACATTGAATCAGGTGAACATAGTTTTATCCAGATTGTAATGAATAAATCTAGTTAATATTTCGCCAGGTAATACAAAGTATACATTGCTAATGGAAGTTCATTTAATTATCAAAAAACTAATGTTTTATAACCTTTTTCAGGGCGCAAACCCACCATACAGAGACTTAAGTCTACTGCCATTCCCAGCCTATTTTCCTGGACCAAGCAAGAGACTGAATCGTCCGCAAAAAGAAAAATCAGGGCAGTTTCCTGTGAAAACAAAAGAACTAAACTTAATGAATATTGTAGTAGAAATCTAGAGGAAAGTTTTGATTGTAAAGTTGGTTTTCCTAAAGAAGTCATTCATACTGCAGAAAAGGATTTATTTTATGACTTCCACCACCAACTGCCGAGCTAATGTTGAGCTTCACAGATGGAATTACGCAAACACCATCAATGCCTATGTTTTCAGCAGAGAATTTTGAAATGAAGACACGTGACACAGCCATGCATTTTTATACCAGTTTAGAGTTGTATACTAAATTTTTATTTGTTTTGACCACACTTGGTCCAGCAGCACATTGTTTGAGATATATATATTTTCAAATTGATAGGGTGTCAGTTGAAAATCAGTTTTTTTATGACTTTGATGAAATTGAGGCATTATACAACCAACTTTGAACTTTCTAGATTCTAAATTGAATCTAGTGTTAAGAATATTGTGTATACATGGATTGTTTTTATGTCTAAACAGTGGTGTGAGGCTAACACTTGGCCATCTAGTGGTTTAGTCAGGTATTTTTCACCATCCAACTTCAAATTAAAGTTTCCTACGACTTGGATTATTATTGACAGCACAGAATATCCCGTGATAAAACCTAAAGCTCCTAGAGCTCAGGCAACCTTTTCATCATATAAAAACAGAAACACTGAAAATACTTGTATGTTCGACACCTGGTGGTTTAGTAAACTATGTCTCTAATGCATACATGTATGTTGGTTCTACCAGTGACTATGAAATAGTTGAAAGATGTAGAATAGTTCAATTATGTGATACAGGTGACAGATTGATGGCAGACAAAGGTTTTAATGTGCAAGATTTGTTTGCTAACTTTTTTCAAAAAAAGAAACAGAATTAATTCCATACATCTTATACGGGACAGAAAAGTCTCCAATTAACATGTGCACATAGAGCGAATTATTGGACTTGGCAAAACATAAAAAATTCTAATAAATCCTATGAATGGAACTGAAACAAAACTTTCATCTGAAATAACATTTAGTTGTTTTATGTTGTGTAATTTTAGAACTTGTATTGTGCCAAAGGATGCATAAATAAAAGTGACGCAATGAATTTTGTTCTGATATATATATATTTATAATTACATGCACATGTAAATTGTAATGCATATAAAAATAAGGAGATGTGGTATGATATTCAGTGAGTTTATCGAACTAAAGTGCATAAGAAATGGGTTTAAGCAGTTACAGGTGTTACTGTCACCGTACAATCTCCAACAATGAGAAAAACTTGTACCGTGTAAAAAATTTCAGAGATCTTACCACTAAGTTTTGTTGTCTCACCTTGACTTTGGTGAATTGTTTATATCTGTTGATGTAAATATAAAAAAGAAGATGTGGTATGATTGCCAATGAGACAACTCTCCACAAGAGACCAAATGACACAGAAATTAACAGCTATAGGTCACAGTACGGCCTTCAACAATGAACAAAGCCCATACCGCACAGTCAGCTATAAAAGGCCCAGAAATGACAATGTAAAACAATTTAAACAAGGAAACTAACGGCCTAATTTATGTACAAAAAATGAACGAATATAACAAATATGCAACACATAAACAAACAACAACCACTGAATTACAGGCTCCTGACTTGGGACAGGCACATACATGTACATACAGAATGTGTCGGGGTTAAACATGTTAGCGGGATCCCAACCCTCCCCCTAACCTGGGACAGTGGTGTAACAGTACAATATAAGAATGAACTATAAAAATCAGTTGAAAGAGGCTTAACTCATCAGATGGATAAATACAAATACAAGTGGACGTGGTCGGGTAGTTGTACATCCAAACAACAAAAAGACACTAAGTACAGATCTGAGAGTACTCACAGTTACTGACAGCTAGTTCAAAGCCACTAACAACTGATAAAAAAATCTTGCATCTAAGACTAAATTATCAATCCGTAAGCTCCCTTTAGAATTTTATAAATTTTAGATTTTACATTTCTGAGTTGTGGGGTTTTATTCATTAAAAAAGGGGGGATTTTCCAGTTTTTGTCGAGCCTGCGACTTGTTGCAGAAAGCTCCACATAGGGATAGTGATGTGGCGGCGGCGTTAGCTAACTTCTTAAAAGCTTTATATTTCAGAAGGTGGAAGACCTGGATGCTTCATACTTTGTATATGGATGCCTCATGTTACGAAGTTTCCGTCAGCCACATGTCCAATGTCCTTGACCTCATTTTCATGGTTCAGTGACTACTTGAAAAAAAAGTTAACATTTTTTGTAATGTTAAATTCTCTCTTATTATAAGTAGTAGGATAACTATATTTGGTATGTGCGTACCTTGCAAGGTCCTCATGCCCGTCAGACAGTTTTCACTTGACCTCGACCTCATTTCATGGATCAGTGAACAAGGTTAAGTTTTGGTGGTCAAGTCCATATCTCAGATACTATAAGCAATAGGTCAAGTATATTCAGTGTATGGAAGGACTGTAAGGCGTACATGTCCAACTGGCAGGTGTCATCTGACCTTGACCTCATTTTCATGGTTCAGTGGTTATAGTTAATTTTTTGTGTTTTTGTCTGTTTTTCTTATACTGTATGCAATAGGTCTACTATATTTGGTGTATGGAGTTATTGTAAGGTGTACATGTCTAGCTGGCAGGTCTCATTTGACCTTGACCTCATTTTCATGGTTCAGTGGTCAAAGTTAAGATTTTGAGTTTTGGTCTTTTTTTCTAATACTATATGCAATAGGTCATCTATATTTGGAGTATGGAAATATTTTATGATCTATATGTCAGTCGCGCAGGTTTTATTTGACCTTGACCTCATTTTCACAGTTCATTGCTCAGTGTTAAGTTTTTGTGTTTTGGTCTGTTTTTCTTAAACTATAAGCAATAGGTCAACTATATTTGTTGTATGGAAGAATTGTTAGCTGTACATGCCTGCCTGGCATGGTTCATCTGACCTTGACCTCATTTTCATGGTTCATTGGTCAATGTTTAGTTTTCTTGGTTAATGTTAAGTTTATGTGACAGTTGTAATAAAGCTTTATATTAAGGACTATCAACATAATATCAGTGATTAGTAAAGAAGGCGACACATTTCAGCGTGTGCACTCTTGTTGAACAACAACTCAAAAATGCTTTAAGCAGTTCACATGAAACTTTGGTGAATTATTTATAGCTATTGATGTAATCTCCCTATAGTCAATAGATTTTCATAAATTTCAAATATGACATTGAGAAGAAATTGAACTTTATTTGTTTATAGTCTGGCAACAGATTTATTAAGTATTGCGCAACAGCACAGTGTATTGCACAACAGCAAGAAATCTTTAATTAAGTCTCCCAAACGAAGTTTGGGAAGACTTATTGTTTTTGCTCAGTTCTTATTATTATTATTATTCTTCTTCTTCTTCTTCTTCTTCTTCTTCTTCTTCTTCTTCTTCTTCTTCTTCCGCCGCTTTTAAATTTGAACTTGTCCGCACCCGTTCTCCTAAACCGCTTGTCAGATTAAATTAGGGTTTCACAATATGTTAGACTAACATGTCTAGTGGTGCAATCAGGGTTTTGTTTGTGCAATGGGGTTTATAAAGGGGTACTTTGAGGGGCAAAAAGAAAAGTGGGTTTTACTATAGAACCCTATGGGATTTTATTTTTAAAAATTTTCAAATGATTATAAATTGAAAACCGTTTGTGATAGACACAATCTTTTTAATTGAAAATGTTCTAAATGATAAAGCCCATTAAATGAAATACAGGGTTAGTCCCCAGGGGTCACCCCCACCCCCTGCCATTTAAAAAAGTTCTAATATCTTGTAAGTGGTCAAGATCCCCACCCCTAAACCATATATATTTTGGTTTGTCATGCTAAGATGGTTTGAATGATATACAGGGTTAGTCCCCAGGGGTCATCCCGACCCCCTGCTATTTGAGAAAGTTCTAATATCTTGTAAATGGTCGAGATCCCCACCCCTAAACCATATATATTCTGGTTTGTCATGATAAAGCACATCAAATGAAATACAGGGTTAGTCTCCAGGGGTCACCCCCACCCCCTGCCATTTAAGAAAGTTCTAATATCTTGTAAGTGGTCAAGATCCCCACCCCTAAACCATATATATTCTGGTTTGTCATGATAAAGCACATCAAATGTAATACAGGGTTAGTCCCCAGGGGTCACTCCCACCCCATGCCATTTAAGAAAGTTCTAATATCTTGTAAGTGGTCAAGATCCCCACCCCTAAACCATATATATTCTGGTTTGTCATGCTAAGATGGTTTGCATGATATACAGGGTTAGTCCCCAGGGGTCATCCCGACCCCTGCCATTTGAGAAAGTTCTAATATCTTGTAAATGGTCGAGATCCCCACCCCTAAACCATATATATTCTGGTTTGTCATGATAAAGCACATCAAATGAAATACAGGGTTAGTCCCCAGGGGTCACCCCCACCCCATGCCATTTAAAAAAGTTCTAATATCTTGTAAGTGGTCAAGATCCCCACCCCTAAACCATATATATTCTGGTTTGTCATGCGAAGACGGTTTGAATGATATATGGGGTTAGTCCCCAGGGGTCATCCCGACCCCCTGCCATTTGAGAAAGTTCTAATATCTTGTAAATGGTCGAGATCCCCACCCCTAAACCATATATATTCTGGTTTGTCATGATAAAGCACATCAAATGAAATACAGGGTTAGTCTCCAGGGGTCACCCCCACCCCCTGCCATTTAAGAAAGTTCTAATATCTTGTAAGTGGTCAAGATCCCCACCCCTAAACCATATATATTCTGGTTTGTCATGATAAAGCACATCAAATGTAATACAGGGTTAGTCCCCAGGGGTCACTCCCACCCCATGCCATTTAAGAAAGTTCTAATATCTTGTAAGTGGTCAAGATCCTCACCCCTAAACCATATATATTCTGGTTTGTCATGCTAAGATGGTTTGCATGATATACAGGGTTAGTCCCCAGGGGTCATCCCGACCCCCTGCCATTTGAGAAAGTTCTAATATCTTGTAAATGGTCGAGATCCC